GAGGGCTGTCCGCCGCCGTGGAACGTCGCCCGGTGTGGCCTCGCCCGGAGGGCAGACCCCGGCCAGGAGCTTCCTCCCGTTTGCTCTCGGGTGGGTTTTCTTCGTGAATGCGGGGTTTGGATTCTTCCGGCCCCCGCGTCATTTCAGTGGCAGCGTGGAAAATGTTTAAGGTGTCCTGCCTCCGGGCAGTACTCGCCTCTGAATTCTTTATCTCTATACTAAGTACTTATCTGTAGAAACAGTTCTTCTATAGGTTATATAAAAGAGTTATGCTGACAGCCTGCTGGCAGGGCTGCGCAGTATTATTATCATCAAAGACCTATGAGGTGATGCTGAAGTGTTTTACGTTTGGTGGAAGCAAAGTCCTCGTGCCGTTCTAAACAGGATATCTGGGAATAAATGCAGAAAATGCTTTTCAGAGTTTTAAGTCACTGATATGTTTGGTAGTAGAAATGAGCTAGTATGCAATCTGAAATAGATACTGTGATTTTTCTTGCAGAAAGGTTAAAAATGCGCAGCTGATACTTTAGGAAGTGGAAGATACCTCGGTTAGTTGCTTTGCAGTTATTGCGATGGAAAGGTCAGGTGCAGAGCAACCATCTGCATCCTCAGACAGAAGAGCAGCCGGAGAGGCCAAGGACGGGGACCCACCAGAGAAGCCTCTGCTTTCAGAAGACACAGGCACTGTACAGTCGGAGGAGGGCTGTGAGCAGCAGTCTCTTCTGGAGCAGTCAGCTCTGAAGGAACAAGAGCAGTTAAGTTTAGCACAGAGGGAATCACCCAGTGCAGGACTAGACAATCAGGAAGCAACTGGAAATAATGAGCAAGATGTGTTTGAGCTAGATGCTGTATTCACCGCACCATCTGAGGGTACATCTGTTGCCAGTGAGAATTATTCTACCTTACTTGAATTAAGAAATTCAGAAAGGGAAGAACTAACTTCTCAAAACTCAGTAAAAGCAGTTCAACAGGATTACCGGATGCCTGATGTCATAACTGTCAGAGTGCAAACAGGTAAATGGTGTTTTTAAATATGTATCAGTATATATAATTTGATCTCTGATCTCAGTCTGTTACTAACAGAAACAATGCTTCTGTTTTGGAACTTCCATTTTAACAGATTCTGATTCAGTCCAAGATGTACTTGTGAAAATCGAAAGGCCTACCTATCGGAAACCATTTCTGGGTGGATTTAAGAACAACATAACAGGAGTGGTATTTCATAATGCAGGATCACAAACGATACCCAAAAAACGACCTGACAAAGGAATTCAGTTATTTTGTAGGGAA